GCGGGTTTCCAGTGCGAGGAACCACTCTCTGTATGTTTCAGGTAAAATATTTTGGTATCTTTGATAACAAATTTATGACTAAATTAAACTGATAAAAAGACTAACATGTATCCCAATCTGTTTTTTTCTTCTTGAAAAGTGGGTTAGGCATCTTGAAGATGGCACAAGGCAATACATCGAGGGTAAGATTCGAATTTATTTGTCTTACCGACTATTTCAGCTGTTTAAAAACTGGACTAAGGTTTATACAATATATTCAGGAGCCACACATCCAGAGTATGTTGTGACCGCGGATGATGTAGATAAACTGATTGCTGTTGAATGTATTCCAATGGATGATCAAGGTCGTCAGGTAAATACTCTCAGGTGTCTATAGTTTGAAGATGCGTTTAGATCAATTGTCTTTTTGATTATGCAGGGAGAATTAGTGAGATTGTTTGCGAATGATCAGAACAAGATTAGATGTGGTAATGTATTCAACAAAATCTAACACCAAAAAAGGCCGTTCACCGTCTCTTCACTGCTGAGAATGTCTTTGCTTCTTGTACAGATGCAGAGATGCAAGCAGAAATCGATACGTATATATCCCGAGGTCAAGCAACCTTCAACGTGCAGCTTCTAGTAAGTTTGTAGCTCAGAGTTTGAATCAACAGTGTATGGTGTTTAATCCATTTGTTTATTTAACAATCGGTTTCTTTTATCGATAGATGGATTCGTCAGAGAGTTGGGAACCTGCAACGGTTATATTGAAGAGGTCTAATTACCAGATCAAAACAAGCAACGTAGAAGCTATGGTGATCTCAGAGAAATACTCAAAGGAACTCCTGGTAAAGTACTTCTTCAGATTGAAATTTAAACAAAGTTGAAAAGTCAAAAGTGTTTCTCTAATATGTTTCAGTTAAAACAAAAATTGCAGATAAAAGTACCGTGTGGATTCTCAACACAGTTTGTCCTGATAAGTTATGATGGATCTTCACATCCTATAAGCACTCTCAATGTCCGGTACATAATATACATCTCTCTTTCTTACTTTTGCACTTGTAAAGTCAAATACAGTAATTTTATTTCAAGTTTACCTCATTTTCTAATACAAACTCACTCCTAAAATTGTGAATTTTTTTACCAGCATGCGTGATACACTAGTCTTGACGATGAGAATGCTTCAAAGCAAGGTATGCTTTTCAGAATTACTGAAATTGACTTGTGATGGAGACAATTATAATTTTGTGAAATGATCATATTCTTATTCATATAGTAAACTTTGTTTTCATGAGGCAGGCATTGGACGAACGCAGAAAAGGACGAGTTTAGAGTTAGTGTGACTACTGAGCAGATCCATCCTCGAGTTCTTCAATTGTAAGTTTGATAAAATCGACGATCTATATGGTTATTATTGAGTAATAATTGTTATAGCTTATAGTTTTTGTATTATTTTTTTTGTCGTTTTAGGTCTTTGTTTAAACAAATATATTATCGTTATAGTGACATTCACTTTGGACTGAAGCTAAAAGCGTCGGAATCTTCTTCTTTTTTTTTGCCTTTTCTTAAATAATAAATAGATGAGTTTCTTTTTTTTTTTTGTTAAATAGATGATTTTCCAATTAATATTTCTGGCTCGTAACATTTTTCGTTTTGGTCTGTGTCTGTCGGGTGTATATAATATGAATGCGACATTGAAGTTTTAGTGTTTCTGTTTACATATATCTTATATTTCCCGCCATCAGTTTGTACTATACGACAGCCTCATGAGGAGCAACTGCAAATTTAAAAAGCTGAAAAGCTGAAAAAGAGTCAAAAATAAGATGAAGGAAGAGACACTTGAATCACGAAATGTTTATATTTGGTTTGAAATCAAGCATAAAATGTAATTCTTAAAATAATGAGATTACACCTAACTTTAGCCAGTTGGCATAACAACAACAAAGAAGGGACAACTTTAGCCATGTGCAAATATATAACTTTAGCCATGTAAAAACACACAAGTTCGCCCTAATTTTTTCTCCCATGCACGCTTCCCAAGTCCGCCTCCTCCTTCTCCGACTGTTGCTCTGCTCCGATTTCGGAATGAACTTCCTTCACCGGCGGTTCCTTTCCTGAAATTGGAGCGCGGCTTCCTCTTTCCCGGGCTCTGCTTTGGCGTCCGATGAATTTGGCTCTCTTTCCGCCGGTGCTTTCTTCATCGGCGAGACTCTTTTGGTTCCTGTTACTTCTCGGTTGTGCTTGTGCTTCTTCTCCGGTGACAGAATTGACGGGATTTGCAGAGTTCTCGAGGACGGATCTCTCGCCTCTCTTCTTCAACTTACCGGAGCAGTACGCTGAGCCCTTCTCACTCAGAGTGAGCATCTTTACGGCGATGCCGAAACCTCCACCAAAACCTCCGGATCTACAGATTTGCCTTCGACCCTTGGTTCTTTACCCTTCACACTCATCTCAGCTGTCATCCTTCTTTATCTCTATCACTCTCCCAGATCTATCGTTCCTATCCACCATCTCCTTAAGCTTTGGCCAATGGAAGCTTCTCGTCCTACTCCTCGCCGGTGAAGGGACATCGGGATCTTGGATTCCCGGTTGCGTAAATTTGGACATCTTGGTCCGGCGTTGTAAAATTTTGGGATTGAAGCATGGTTTCTTCGGAGGGAGCTCTCTCTCGAAGCTATTTCTTTCAGTCCGCCATCGTTTGGCTCCACTGCGTGATTCAATTTCAGTTCCGCCGGCTTCATTTCCGGCGACTTATCAGAAGTTTAAGCTTATTCCCTTGGCGTACCCTCGCAGCTCCGTCCATGTGACGTGTTTTGTCTTTGGTGCTTCGTCGAGACTTTGCCATCGTTTGGCTCCACCGCGTGCTCCACTTTCAGTCCCGCCGGTATCATCTCCGGCGACTTATCAGAAGTCTAAGCTTCCTTCCTTGGCGTACCCTCCGAGCAGTTCCGTCCGGGTGACGTGTATTGTCTCATGTTCTGGTGCTTCGTCGAGAATTTTCATCACCACACCAGCTCCATCATTGGATACATCTTTAGGCGTGTGGCTTTGTGAACCTTCCTCTGTCGTAACAGAGAGAACTTCCTCCCTATGGGAGAGATCACGTATTCCATTTTCCTCCTTAGAGGAGAGAATCTTACCTCCATCGAGCTCTCTATCAAGTATGGAGTTGCTTCCCTCGAGTTCATTCTGAGGTATGTTATCCAATTTCTTCACCGACTTGTTTTCCTATGTAGCTCCTTCTACGGAGTTAGAAGAAGCAACCGTTTTCGTCTCGACGATTCTTGGAGGTGAAACTTGGTTTTCAACGTCATCTTTAAAAATAACTAAATTTACGAACTTCGCATTGCCATGTTTGTTCCACCGACGCATCTGAGCCTTGCTTTGGATCTGTTGTCTTCTTCCTTTGATAGGAACCTCTATGCTTTAATTTCTAGATGCTCATGTTTATTTGCTTTAATCAAAAGAGGATGTCATATTCCCTCTTGTTGTAGTTTCAAGGTTTAATCTAATGAAAAAATGTTTGAACAAAAAAAAAAAAAAAAACTTTTGTAAATTTACATTTCTGTTGAACCCACAAGGCCACAATACTCAAGAGGGTCATGTATCATTAAGCCAGTCTTAATTTGATCTCGATTAGTAATTAATTCGTAGAACGACAGATTAATCATATAACTCTTGTATTATGTATATATGTCATTGTATAAGGCGAATGGTTGGAGAGCTCCCATCAATCGTACCACCAATAATAATTTAGGATACAATTTTTGTTAGAGACGTTATTCATAATATTTAACTTCACAATTGTAGTATAAAAATGCATATCGATCATAGCTTGATTCTTTTTACCATGCGTGGTCAATTATATACAGTGTTATAAGTACTGGTGCAACATTTCTCTTTGAAAATTCTTCATGTGTATTAAAATTAGAAAAAAACACCAAAAAAAACCAGAATTATGATTAATCTATTAGTTAAACAAACAAAAATAAACTTACAACTCTCACTCGAAGCTCTTTGAGGTGAAGATGTTCCATCCTGCTTGTGTTAACAAGTGGCCTTGGATAACAGAGAACATAGTTCTTTTTATCCACGTGAGACCGGTAGTTCATGGCATACATGCCAATTGATTGCTTCATGTATTACGGGTGACTGTTTAAATAAAATTTCAAACACAATTAAAAATTAAACTGAAAGCTTAATAAAATTTACAACAAATATCTTGTTATGGTTAGGAAATGGTATCATTGATGTAGTTACACCCAATATCAGTGTTGAATGTAAGCACACTAAAACAACACATATGAGACTTCCAAATGCAGAAAAATAAAATTAGAATCAAAGAAAAGTGGTAGCTATGCAAAAAACGACCTTATGTACATAAGTTTTTAACTCATGCGTCAGGATTCTGAAAACCAACATGCACAAAATCTGAACAATAAATCGATCACTCCAACACTCTAAGTAGCAATCATTTCTCTAGGCATTTCCCACAATAATCTACACTCATAAAAAGCATATTAATTCATTTAGTGAGATCTAAACCTCTACAACTCATCCTAACACGTGACGTGAACCAAATTCCACATTCTAACTTATAAACAAAACCATTCCATGTGTGAAAATTCCAAGAATATCCAAAGTGAGAAACCGCAATTCTGAAGAACAAAATATTCCAAACTGATAAAACAACTATGACTTCAGAAAAAGGTTCACCATAATGAAGATGAGATGATCATTACCTCAAGAGTGATTGCAGCGATTTTTAAAAAAAAAACACGACTAGTTAATAAATTTAGTAGCAAATAGTCAATACATAAGTAGATTTGTTATTTCTTTAATTGACTGTATTGCGATTTTTTTTGATGTGGTGGGGACTGTGTTCGATGCTTCCTCGATGATAAAGCTTAAGCTTCCGATGGCTATTCTCTACGTGTTATTATTCGACCTCTTCAAATAGGCTTTTCTCATAAATTTGAACTAATCAAGTGGAAAATACAAAGAGAAAATTTTCACTCAATAGCGCTAGTTATAGTGTTATCTTTCACTCCACATTTTTTTTTTCACCTTTTTACTCTAAGTTTCAATTTTCCTTTACTTTCATTTCTTCTTTCATCTATTACTCCATATTATGCTATTCTCTATCATTCACACCCTATTTGATTTTTATCGAACCATTTCTCCCATAAAAGCTGAAAGAGAGTCAAATATAAGATCAAGGAAGAGACATTTTAAATCACGAAATGTAATTCTAAAAAAAATGGGATTACACCTAACTTTAGCCAGTTGGCATAACAACAACAACAAAAAGGGACAACTTTAGCCATGTGCAAATATATGTGTAATCACTCATCTACATCATTTGTAAATTTACACTTATGTTGAACACACAATACTCAAGAGGGTTCATGTATCATTATACCAGCCTTATTGTGATCTCGATTAGTAATTAATTCATAGAATGACAGGACGATTAGTCATATGAGTCATATATGTATACATGTCATTGTATAAGGCGAATGGTTGGAGAGATCCCATCAATCGTACAACGAGCATTAATTTAGTATACAATTTCTGTTAGAGTTATTCATATTTAATTTCAGAATTGTAGTATATATAGAAATGTATATCAATCATAGCTTGATTCGTTTTCGTATACGTGGTCAATTATACAGTGGTATAGTCGTGCGACATTTCTCTTTGAAAATTCTACATGCTTATTAAATTAGAAAACGAAAATGCATAAAAAAAAAGCATTATGAAATATTCTAGTTAAATTGAAATAAAATTTGTATTACTACGTATGTTGATGGTATCTTTATACTGTATACAATGATATGTTGTCAGTAGTCAGTATACACGTACTGTAATTTTGTGACCACAAATTTTAGATACGTGAATAATTTGTCATCAACGTGGCCCATGTTAAAGTATTCCACCTTCGTCAACACTTCACCAACCATTTTTATGCCTTGAAAATGACTCTCTCCTTTTTTTGTCAACACTAAAACACTATTGTGTTACTTTCTTGCTACTCAAAATAAAGTAAATCAAACATTATTTTGAATTATACATACATAACCGTCATTCGCTTTTTAACAAAAATTAAGAAACCTGACTCCATTTTCTTTTCGTATCACAGGGTATACATTATTTATCTCAAAAAGGTATAAAAATGGAAGCATAAAGAGAAAGCAAAAGAAGAATAAATACATATAAATAAAGCAAATTCTGCAACTTTATCTATACAGCATTTCTAGATTTGATAATACAGAACATTCACTCTCAGTAATAAAAAATAAAGAACAAAATCATCATTTGCTCACTAAATT